TCCTCTGCAATTTTTTGGAAGAGTTTCAAAAGGATAGGCATTAACTATTCTCTAAATATTTGGTAGAATTCGCCTGTGAAGCCATCTGGTCCTGGGCTTTTGTTTACTGGAAGTTTTTAAATCACATATTCAATTTCAGTACTTGTGATTGGTCTGTTCATATTTTCTATTTCTTCCTGGTTCAGTCTTGGAAGGTTGAACCCTTCTAAAACTTTCTCCATTTCTTCTAGGTTGTCCATTTTATTGCATGTAGTTGCCTGTAGTAGTCTCTTAGGATCCTTTGTATTTCTATGGTGTCAGTTGTAACTTCTCCTTTTTCTTTTTAAATTTTATTGATTTGAGCCCTCTCCCTTTTTTTCCTGATAAGCCTGGCTGGAAAGTTTATCAATTTTGTTTACCTTTTCAAAGAACCAGCTTTTAGTTTCATTGATCTTTGCTATTGTTTTCTTTGTTTTTATTTCATTTATTTTTGCTCTGATCTTTATGATTTCTTTCCTTCTACTAGCTTTGGATTTTGTTTGTTCTTCTTTCTCTAGTTGCTTCAGGTGTAAGGTTAGGTTGTTTGAGTTGTTTCCTGAGGTAATCTTGTATCGCTATAAACTTCCCTCTTAGAACTGCTTTTGCTGCGTCCCATAGGTTTTGCATTGTCATGTTTTTGTTGTCATTTGTCTCTAGGTATGTTTTTGATGTCCTCTTTGATTTCTTCAGTGATCCATTGGTTACTAACGTATTATTTAGCCTCCATGTGTTTGTGTGTTTTTTTTCCCAGTTTTTTTCTTGTAATTGATTCTAACCTCAAAGCGTTATGGTCAGAAAAGATTCTTGATATGATTTCAATTTTGTTAAATTTACGAAGGCATGCGTTGTGGCCCAGCATGTGATCTATCCTGCAGAATGTTCTGTGTGCACTTGGGAAGAATGTGTGCTCTGCTGCTTTTGGATGGAATGCTCCATAAATATCAATTAAGTCCATCTGGTCTAATGGGTCACTTAAGGCCTGTGTTTCCTTATTGATTTTCTGTCTGGATGATCCGTCCACTGATGTAAGTGGGGTGTTAAAGTTTCCCATTATTATTGTGTTACTGTCAAGTTCTCCTTTTATGGCTGTTAGCATTTGCCTTATATTGAGGTGCTCTGTTCGGTGCAAATATATTTACAATTGTTGTATCTTCTTCTTGGATTGATCCCTTGATCATTATGTAGTGTCCTTCTTTGTCTCTTGTAACAGTGTTTATTGTAAAGTCTATTTTGTCTGATATGAGTAATGCCACTCCCGCTTACTTTTGATTTCCATTTGCATGGAATACCTTTTTCCATCCCCTCATTTTTAGTCTGTATGTGTCCCTAGATCTGAAGTGGGTCTCTTGTACACAGCCTATATACGGGTCTTCTTTTTGTATCCATTCAGCCAGTGTGTCTTTTTGTTGGAGCATTTAATCCACTTACATTTAAGGTAATTACCGACACGTATGTTCTTACTCCATTCTGTTAATTGTTTTGGATTTGTTTTCGTAGGTCTTTTTTTCTTCCCTTCCTCTTTTGTTCTCTTCTCTTGTGTTTTGATGACTATCTTTAGTGTTCTGTTTGGATTGCTTTTTCTTTTTTGTGTGTACATCTATTATAGATTTTTGGTTTGCAGTTCCCATAAGGTTTGGTGGGTTTTTTTGGCTGCGTTGGGTCTTCACTGCTGTGTGCAGGCTTTCTCTAGCTGTGGTGAGCAGGGGCTATTCTTCATTGCGGTGCGCAGGCTTCTCACTGCAGTGGCTTGTTGCAGAGCACAGGCTCTAGGCACACGGGCTTCAGTAGTTGCAGCACGTGGGCGCAGTAGCTGTGGCACGTGGGCCCTAGAGCACGTGGGCTTCAGTAGTTGCGGGGCGTGGGCTCAACAGTTGTGGCACGCAGGCTCTAGGGCGCGCGGGCTTCAGTAGTTGTGGCGTGCAGTAGTTGTGGCTCATGGGCTCTAGAGCACAGGCTCAGGAGTTGTAGCACACGGGCTTAGTTGCTCCATGGCATGTGGGATCATCCCAGACCAGGGATCAAACCTGTGTCCCCTGCATTGGCAGGCAGATTCTTAACCACTGCACCACCAGGGAAGTCCCTCCCATGAGGTTTTGATATAGCACTCTATAACATACAAGATTGTTTTAAGTGGTTGGTCTCTTCAATTCAACTGCATTTCCAATATCCTGTGTTGGTACTCTCCTTCTCACGACTGCTGGTTTTGATATATTTTTGTGTGGATGATTTCCTGACTGTACTGTATGTTTGCCTTTACCAGTGAGCTTTCCCATTCGTAATTTTGTTTCTAGTTGTCTCCTTTGCTTTTCCACCTAGAGAAATTCCCTTAGCATTTGTTGTAAAGCTTGTTTGGTGGTGCTGAATGCTCTTAGCTTTTGCTTGTCTGTAAAGCTTTTGATTTCTCTGTGGAATCTGAATGAGAACCTTGCTGAGTAGAGTATTCTTGGTTGTAGATTTTTCCCTTTCATCACTTATCATTCCACTCCCTTCTGGCCTGCAGGGTTTCTACTGAAAAATCAGCTGATGGCCTTATGGGGATTCCCTTGTGTGTTATTTCTTGCTTTTAATATTTTCTCTTTGTTTTTAATATTTCTCAGTTTGATTACTGTGTGTCTCGCATGTTCCTCCTTGGGTTTATCCTGTATGGGACTCTCTGAGCATCCTGGACTTGAGTGTCTCCTTTCCCATGTTATGGAAGTTTTTGGCTATAATCTCTTCAAATATTTTCTCAGGCCCTCTCTCTCTCTCTCTCTCTCTTCTCCTTCTGGGACCCCTATAATGCAAATGTTGGTGCACTTAATGTTGTCCCAGATGTCTCTGAGACTGTCCTCATTTCTTTTCATACTCTTTATTCTGTTCTGCAGCAGTGATTTCCACCACTCTGTCTTCCAGCTCACTTATTCATCCTTCTGCCTCACTTATTCTCCGATGTATTCCTTCTAGTGTATTTTTCACTCCAGTTATTGTATTGTTCATCTCTGTTTGTTCTTTAAGCCTTCTAGCTCTTTGTTAAACATTTGTTTTATCTTCTCAGTCTGTGCCTCTATTTCTTTTTCTGAGACCTTGGATCATCTTTACTATCATTACTCTGAATTCTTCAGCAAGTAGGCTGCCTATTTCCACTTCACTTAGTTGTTGTTCTGGGTTTTTCTCTTGTTCCTTCATCTGGACCATATTTCTCTGCCCTTTCACTTTGTCTAACTTTCCATGTTTGTGGTCTCCTTTCTGCAGACTGCAAGGGTGTAGTTCCTCTTGGTTCTGATGAGGTTGGTCCAGGGGCTTATGCAGGCTTCCTGGTGGGAGGGACTGGTGTCGGCCCACTGGTGGGTGGAGTTGGGTCTTGTCCTGGTGGGTGGGGCCACACCAAGTGGTGTGTTTAGGGGTGGCTGTGAGCTCCATATGACTTTAGGCAGCCTGTCTGTTGATGGGGCAGCACCCTCCTCGTTGTTTGCCCTGAGTTGCCCCAGCAGTGGAGCCTGCAGGCTGCTGGGTTGGGCCAGGTCTCCATGCCAAAATGGCGACCTCCAAGGGCACTCACGCAGATCAATATTCCCTGGGGCCTCTGCCACCAGTGTCCTTGCCCCCACAGTGAGCCACAGCCAACCCGTCTCCCCAGGAGACCCTCAAAGATTCACCAGTAGGTCCAGCCCAGGCTCCTAGGGAGTCACTGCTTTGTGATGGGTTCCCAGTGCACATGAAACCTTGTGTGTGCCCTCCAAGAGTGGAGTCTCTGTTTCCCCTGGCCCTGTGGAGCACCTGCACTCAAGCCCCACTGGTCTTCAAAGCCAAATGCTCTGGGGGCTCCTCCTCCCAATTCCAGACCCTCAGACTGGGGAGCCTAACGCTGGGCTCGGAACTCTCACTCCTCTGGGAGAACCTCTGCGATCTAATTATTTTCCAGTTTATGGGTCGTCCACTCAGTGGGTATGGGATTTGTTTACATCATGAAAGCACCCCTCCTATCATCTTACTGTGGCTTCTTCTTTGACTTTGGATGTAAAATATCTTTTTTGGTAGGTTCCAGTCTTTTCTGTCAATGGCTGTTCAGCAGTTAGTTGTGATTACGGTGTTTTTCTGAGAGGAGGTGAGCTCAAGTCTTTCCACTCAACCATCTTGTCTGGAATCAAGGGGCTGGTTTTAGTTTGGTTGCTTGCTGCCTCTCTCCTCAGCATGTGCTGGCCATCATCCCCTTGATACGGGGGTGGGAAGGTGCAGCAGCGGCCCGTGCGTACTCCCGGGATGGCAGGGGCAGCGACTGGCACCTGCTCATAGCCCATGTGCTGTCCCTGCACTCTCCTCGGATGGTAGGAGCCATGACTGATGCCTGCTCACAGGTCTTGTAGTGGCAGCAGCAGCCCATGCACTCCTGGGACAGCAGGGGAAGCAACTGGCGCCTGCCTGTGGGTCTCTTAGTGGTGGCAGCAGTCCGTGCCCACCTCCGGAGCCCAGAACGGCGGCGGTGGCTCACACCCATCCCAGAAGCTTGTGCAGGTGGTGTCCTGTTGCTTGAGAGCACACACAGGCAAAGAAGCTCCTATGGCAGTGCCTCCCCTCTCCTCACACATCCCCCAACAATGGTGCCGCCTTGCGTCTCTGGTGGGCCCAGGCTTCTTCCAAGGATACCCTCTGTTGCCACACTCCAGCCTTGTCTGGCTGTCTCCCACGGCCAACCCTGGTCATCTCCCTGGGTCTGACTTCTGAAGCCTGAACTTCAGCACTCAGCCCCTGCTCATACCGGCAGACAAGCAACCAGGGTAGGGAGCACAGGGTGGCGGTACTGACCGTCTGTGCAGGTTACTCTCTGTTTTGCCTACCACAAACCGGTTGCTGTGCTCTCCTCCAAGGTTCCAAAGCTCCCCCTCTGTCCAAGCTGATCTCCCTGCCCACGAGCAGACGTCCCAGGTGTGGGAACCTTTCCTCCTTCAGAGCTCCCTCCCTGGGGTGCAGGTCCCATCCTGATTCCTTTCCCTCCCTTTTTTTTTCTTTTTTCTTTTGTCCTACGCAGTTACGTGGAGGTTTCCTTGCCCTTTTGGAAGTCTGAGCTCTTCTGCCAGTGTTCAGTATATGTTCTGTGCAAATTTTTCCATGTGTAGATGTATTTCTGATGTATTTGTGGGAGGAGGTGAGCTCCACGTCCTATTCCTCTGCCATCTTGATAGCTCCCCTCTCTAATAAACTTTAAACAGGGCACTGTAAACACCAGGCCCCACAACAGGCTGACTTCAGTTAAGTTCAACTGCACTCTCACTCTGTGAAGCTTTGGTTGTCAGGTCACGAACCCCTGATACCTGTGGACCTATCTGCCATGCTCTAAGCCCCACTGGTATTGACTCCTGTGACCTAGGACTCAGAACTCCTTAAGTATCTGCGGTGCACAGGTATCCAACAGTTCTCAAATCTAATTGGGCATCAAAGGCACCTGCATAACTCAAGAAACATAGAGATTCTCAGGACTCAAGCCCCAGACTTCCTGAAGCACAGTAACTGATAGCAGAATCTATTTTGTGGGGAAAATAACTCCCCAGGTCTGATTTGTAAAGAAGCAGTCTGGAAAAGGAAAAGATGAGCAGGGCCATGAAGGAGGATAAAAGAGGTGGTGAAAATCCCCCTGCTTTCTTGGATTTAATATCTCTCTCCCATGTCTCCCCTGAAAAAAAAGAAGAGACAGCTACCGGGAGAAAATAACAGCAAGAGTTTCAGGAATGTGAACTTCCTCTTAAAAACAGGAGTTTAAATAGGAGTTTCCTCTTTAAAACCCACCCGCCCTTGTCTACCTTAAGGTCTGCTGCCCAACAATAAATATGAACAAAAGAGAGCAGAACAGGGATGGGAGTTTCCCCTCGTGGGTGGTAGTCATACAGGAGATGGACACAATATGAGCTTCAGGAGAATGGAGGAAGCTCTTTGAGGTTTTCTACCTGTCCTAATTTATGCCATTCTTTGCCTAAAGACTGGAAAATAAATAAAATTTAGTCACAGGGAACAAGAAAAAATGTAATCATTTTAAGAATTCAACTGACAGAGGAAATGAGGAGGTAGGGGTCCTGTGGTATATATAAAATATATTTTTTAAACATCTCCCAGGATGGGTACTAAAGAGACTTTATGAGGTCACCTAATTCATCTCTTAGTAGACAAGACTACAGCTAATAGTATCCAGGGAAAGACACTGGAAAATATATTTTAGGGGCTAAATTTCCACATAATTTAATTGTTCTCATTGTCAAAAATACTGTTTAAATGTCACGAAGCTCACATGATTAGAAACTAAGAACTAAGCATTAAAAACTGCTTCCTTTTATGACAAAAATCTTACACTGGCCAAAAAAAATTGGCCAAAAAACTCCCATGCAAAGAGTTTGAGTATGTTATTATTTTGTAGGATTCCAGAATCTTGTTTGTATGCATGTTTTCCCTTCTGATTTTATTCAAAAGATTCTCTTTTCTTTTCCAAGTGTACTTTCTAAGTCTGAAGACAAAGTGTTCCTTCTCCCTGGCTCCTCCTCCCCTGGCCTCCATGTGATGAAGCACCCATGCGAAAACTAAAGAAGCTATAGAGCTCATAGTGGTCTTACTTGTTAGTCTGTGAAAGACTGAAGCTGCCAGCTGCATATGGATTAGAACGGTCCTGTTTACAATGGCTCCCTGCTCTATGTCAAGAAAAACTGAACTGACCACATGGCACACAGTTTGGAAACCCCACGCCATTTTTTATTTCAGATTTTTATTTTTACGAACAATATCATAGCTTTAACAGCCCCAAAAGAGGTCTGAACCTTAAAACCGTTAGATTTTTGGTAATATGAAAACCATGCCCCAGTCAATAATCACTCAATCTTAAATTGCTACCTCAGCCAGAGGTTTTTTAAAGTTAAGTCCTATTGATGGTTTCATGATAGTCTTCAAGGACTAGAAAGAGTTACTGCAAGAAAGATACCAAAGACATGTGTCCTCAATTAAGTCTGAAATCTTTGTTTCCTCTAAATCAGATGTGTAAACTTGGCAAGTGACATCATTTGTAAGCAGCATGTGTAAGCATTCCTGGTGCAATGCACAATTATTCCCTTAATTTTATCATGGGATCACAGAGTTAAATTCCTGCATCCCCCCTATTATCTAAGAGTACAACATAGAGCAGGGTTTTTTGTTTGATTTCTTCATTTCTATATCTCAGGGCGTATCACATGGTATATGTTCAAGTTATTACTGATCAATGAATACTGCCAAATTAAAGTACATAGAAAAATGAAGTTAATTTCTGTCATTCATTAAATGTAAGAATCAACTATACATTACACCCAACAATGCAAATTCTAAATCTGCCCATAGGGACAACATAACAGTTACTGTGAAAATCATAACTTTGAATTTCCTAGTTGGGTGCAATTGGATACTTAACCTTTAAGGTGCAAAACCTTATGTATTTAATAAAACTGAATCCTATCAGAGTTCCAATTTCTATATGCACCCCCTAGAGCACTGTAATCTAGAAATCATACAGTATCTTGTTCTGTGTAGAAAGTTAATCAATAAAAACACCTTCATTTGGACAGCTTCTGGACATAACATTTCCTGTAATAAAAAATAGAATCACTGGAGATTCATCTCTATACTGCTCCTAAAATCCATGCTGCAAAAGTTTAAGCTTATGCTCCAAATGATAAAGCTTTTATAATTGGGAGCCAAATATAACTAAAGCAAAATTCCAATGATAATAGTGATATAATGGCAAATTCCTTGTAGTTTTAAAAGTTCTACTTAAACTAATAATTATATTAAAATGTCAAGCATTTATAGATACATCTTCAAAATCATTCTCAACTGTACTTACAATTGATATAGTCATCTTTTCTAACTTCACAGATAAGATCATTTAACTCTACAGAGTGTGTGCTCTATTACTGCTAATACTTTACACTAAAAAGCAGCTCAAACACAGAAAGAGCTACTAATTGCTACCATAACTTGGGATGTACATGTTCCATAAAAGAATATTTTAAGAGTGACAGAATGATAGGATATTCCTTAAACTTTGTCCCATCTTCATAAGACTTCTGAGATGTTTTTGCAATCTTTCCTTTCACCCCTGGAGCTGGGCTGAGAAAAAGGAGAGTGGGTATCAGTGTGGGTACCTACTTAAGCATATAGATACGTGCTCACTTGCAGGAGGAAGAAAGGGAGAAAGACCAAAAAATGGTAGCAAGGCGAGATGAGACTGGTCTTGCTGATTCATAAAATGACTGGCTTAATAGGACATTTGGGCAGTGATATTATTTTGGAAACATTTACGCTAAAGTTTCTTTTCTAATAAACTAAGAAAAGGTCATATAAATTGATGCAACAAAGGAAATTCCATTACAAAGTATAAGTCACAGAATTAAAAAAATATGCAGATGTGGCCAATCTATATAACTATCTCCATGTCAAACTCCAATACTTCTCTTCACACAGATCACTAGAGAGAACTTCTGTGGTATTTTTGACGTAGTAATATCCCATTACATACTTATAACTAATGATTTTACCAGTTATTTTGCCAGGTAGATTTCATTCACATTTTTAACCTATCTCAGTATACATCCTTTATTTGCTATAAAAAGTTCTTTGCAACATACAGCATCACTCAGAAAATCTGGAATAAGATTTCAGTATATTCTCCTTGTCACTGCTTTTTAAACCTTATCTCCCCACAGATTATATTTAAACGGTCTAAAGTTACAGTCTTTTGAAAAACTGGTGTGTACTCATACTGGTACCTCTGGAAGAATACTGGAAACGCTAACATAAGAGATTTTCTCTTCTGTTGTTCCACCAGCCCCCTCTTGTTCAGCACTCAGTACTGGGCACTCCAGAGGTCAGGAAACCATGGGGAGACTGAATGAAAAGAAAGGATGGGGGCTAGGGAGCAATTATTAGAGATCACTAAAGTAAAAGCTAACTAGAGCACAACTGAAAAAAAGCTAGCATTGGGAGTCCAAATGTATACAAAAATTAAAACTTACAGAATTTTCAAGATAGATGATAAACTAATGAGAAAGTTGTTTGAATTCAAGGCTTCAAACTAAGACAAATTACATCCAACCATGAAATACACTGTCTATTGGAACCTGAAACCACTGTCAGGGTTCCCCACAAGTCAAATGTAAAGGGCAGAAAGACCCTAACAGGAAGCCATAAGAGACTATATTTGAATTTACCTGGTCAACATTTTCATCAGCAGACAAACTTGGGATGTACTCAGAGGCAGGATCAGTTAGAACGAGGAGACGACTTGTGGGGATCCCTAATAACCAGGGAAGATGGAAAGTTCAGAAGGATTTAGCAGTCCAGAACAAGACACAGATACAAAATGACTCACAAAAAGAAAGATAAAGTACTACACTGGATGTAAAAACAAAAGCTGCTCGTCTATAACATAAGGCCTTACTATGAGCAATTCACGTGAAAAACAACACACCAAGGATCAGTTACATACATGTTTCAAACAGGTCATGGCTGTCTATAAAATAAACCCAAAAAACATATCAACTTGGGCTATACTAATGAAATCACAATTTTTAAACCTTCTTAGCACGCCCCATGCTGGTCACACCCTATTTGAAGTATTATAAGCTCTTCTGAGGACCACATTTTAAAAGTGGCAATGAAAAACGGGAACATTTCAGGAAAGCTAGCATGATTACAAAGAGTCTGAAACTACATTAAAGAGGCATGGTACAAAGAGCTTTGGCAGCATAACTCAGAGAAGAATCAACATAACTCTTGTTCAATATCTGAAGATATGTCATGTGAGAGATGGAAAAGATAGAATTACGACTACTGGAGGGCTAGGAATCCACCCAACGTGAAAAGCTACCTAACATTAAGTTCTTCAAAACTGCCTTGAAAATCAAGGATTCTGAATCTCTAGAAGAGAAGCCAAGCCAATGAATGAAATAGCCAAATAGAGATGGAATGACAAGCGGCCAAGGATGCTTCAAGAATGTCTGTCTATGCGCTTAAGGAAGGGTGCACAAAGCTACTTCCAACCCATAACCCTAGAGATCATCTACAGCCCCTGACCATACAGGTGAAAAAACTGAAGCCGGACAAGGGAACCACCTTGCTCAGGGTATCACAATCATAAAATAGCAAGGCGAGAAGCCAGCTTTCTGGACTCCCTGATCCATGCTCTTCATTCTGTTCCATCTTCTCACTTTAAGTATCAGGCCACTTTGACCCTCACTCACAGAGAAAACATTCTCTTCTTAAGAGTTCATTCAGACTTGGGAAGTAGGGATTTGAAGAACCAGTCACTTTGGGATAAGTGATTTTGCTTGTTTTTCAGTTCTTTCTGTAATGTTCAGTTACTCAAATAGTCCAGAAAGCACCAATCCTTTAAGTACATGGATGCTGTACGTGTTTTCCCACTAAGAATTCAGCTCTGAGGGCGTTGCAGCAAGAAGATTCAGGTGATCCCCCAAAGAGGAATGACTCACTGCTCAAACTTTCCACCCAATTCAATAAGTGAAGATAGATTCTAGAAAAAACAAAAGAGGATCTTGTTTTTCCCTCAGTTGAAAGACAGAGATGGAGTCTGCACTTGCAGAGAAAGAGTAGGTTTCAATGTGTAAGAGAAACTGGAGTGCCAATATCAGTAATTTTCTCAGTCCAGTCACATATAAGGATTTAATCCACAATCAGGCAAACTCAATGTTTTCAATCAAAACGCATTTTCAAATAACAGACATTGACTGTCTTTTTAGAAAGCCAAACAATTCACTCTCCTCAGCCTCCCAAACTTCCATTCGGCCATCCAATCTAAGGTCATCCTTCCTCTTCTCACAAACAAGCACCCTAATGACACCAGTCAACAAATTCAGTTTGCTCCCTAACTCAGAGAAAATTATTCTCAAGATTAAAATCACACAATATTTGATTTAATCATAAAAATCACAATCTTAACGAACCACTACCTGGGCTGACCAGGTGCCAAATGCTGTGCTTAGTACATTACAGCATGTTGATAAGGTAAATATTATCATCCTCATATTACAAATGAAGAAAACAAGACTCCAAGAGACTAAGTTAATTGCCCAAGGTTAAGAGATACCATTACAAGCAGGCTTCTAACTCTGAACTTCAGGACCCCACAATCTTAACCAATACAATGCTGCCTGCCTACTTGCTCAAGGAGAGTGATGCTGTGGGCTCCAAACAACAACCAGAACCATGCAAAGGAAGTGGCATCCAAGTCCACTCAAGAGTTTCACAGGTACCAGACGGCACTGGGCCATTCTGTGAAATACTGTTGAGATGCTCTTCTGTAACCAGAGGCTTAAACAGCAGCAAGACGGACTAAGTGTAGACATGAAAATCAACTTCCTCTGTTTTGAAGGTAAACTGGAAGGCCTCTAATAGTTAACATTAATAATGACTAAATTTTTACTGCTTTCTGTACTAGGCACTGGGATCAAATCCCTTCTCTTTTCCCTCTCAATGTGGATTAAGTGGATTTGGACCACAAAGCCCATTCTCTACACTTAAAGTTAGTGAGCTAAACAGGCAGCAAGGACTCTGTCTCCTTCAGATGTCACCTCACAACAGTTTGGCTGTCACTGATGGGCTGCGTGTGCCATAGTCCCTGGAGGACCCCTGCTGCAGGGCTGAGGATTCACAGCATGTACAGACCAACAAAACAAACTGCCTTTTTCTCCTGAAATGTGGATTTAGTCACAACTGCCACCCCTCAGAGCATTTCACTGATTCCCCCATATCACACTCAAGGTGAATTTGATTCAAGATCAAATTTGTTAGTGGTAACTCCAATGGATCTAAATTTTTTTTAAGTTAAAGAAAATTTTGATTATTGCGCTATACAAACACATTTTTGTAGGATATTTTAAGATATATATTACATACAATTAAGATAATATTTCGTTGGGGAGTAAGAATACATTCTAAACTACTTTAACGATTTTTAGATTAAGTCTAAATCAATGCCCAAAACTGAATAACCTGGTTATTTTGTACTGCAAATTCAGATATTGACAGTAAGACAACAAATCAAAAAGCCTAGATTTTAACTCCAGGTCTCTTCTTACTACTTACTATTGGGGCAATCATGAGTAAGTCATTAACCTCTCTGAGAAGCAGTTTCCTAACCTGTAAACAGCAATTTTTTAAAACTCTAAAGGGCAAATGTATGGCTATGATATTTATAATGTTCCTAAGAGGTTAACAATTTATAGTTCAAATATTTAATAAGGAATATTTGGAAAACATTAGATAATTCATTTAAGCCCTCCCCTCTCTCCCCCACAAAAACTCTGTTTTCTGATTTTTATTCAGCAAGTAAAAATTTTAACGGAAAATTTAAATTTTAAAATGTCTAACTAGTTATTTGTGAAAGTAGATATTTTTCCTTTTCTTTAAACTATTTAAACGAAACCACTTAAACCTTCTCTTTAAACTTCTTTGAACTATTTAAACTAATGTGACTGAAGTTAGAGTACGCTATTCCACTAAAACAAACTAAAAAATCTGACACCTAACACTCCCTTCTTACATTTGCACAGCATTTTGCAAGCTAAATAAAACGTTTCATTCACGTTTGAATGAAAACATTCAGTTCTCACAATAAACCTATATGGTCAGGAGCGTTGTCATGTGACAATTTTGCAAAAGAAGATAAAGTGACAGATAAATAAGACATCCAGGGCACACAGCTCGAAGTGGTGGAGGCACAAGTGGAAGACTTGGCCTTCTGGTCCACGCTGCCCAAGATCATGTCTGCCTCCCAATACCAGACTGTACCTTCTGAGCTCAGTGTATATGGCAGACTTGCAAAGAAACACAAACTTTCCCGATTTTTTTGTTTCTAAGCAATACTCTGATTTAGAATGCCTAAACCAACAACTACCCCTCAAAAAAACATATAAAGCTTAACAAGATATTCAAGTTGACAGCCCTCCATTGAGTAAAGCCATTTTCTTTACGCCACTGAATAATTTATAGAGAAATAAATTCTCTGAGAACACTTTAATATCAGATTACTAACGTAGTCCATGGCCTATTGTGTCTTACCTATAAAACTTTGCTTAAAAGGTCAAGTGAATAAAATGTCTTAACTTATAAATTAGAAGTTCTAAATCTTAATCTCTCTGGATACATTTTTTTAAAAAAACAGAATGTTTTAACCAAGTGTTTTTCAATTTTTGAAATCCATTTTGTTTTAAAGTAAGCTGTTTTAAAAAATCTATTTTTACTGAGTTATAACCATGTGTCTAGCCCTATGCTCATTTAATCAATTAAACCACTGATTTTTTCTTCTTTTTTTTGCAGTACGTGGGCCTCTCATTGTTGTGGCCTCTTCCCGTTGCGGAGCACAGGCTCCAGACGTGCAGGCTCAGTGGCCATGGCTCACGGGCCCAGCCGCTCCGCGGCATGTGGCATTCTTCCCAGACCAGGGCACAAACCCACGTCTGTTGCATCAGCAGACGGACTCCCAACCACTGCGCCACCAGGGAAGCCCTAAACCACTGATTTTTATCTTAACTCTGATATTGCTTAAGTTAGTATTCAAACATGACACCCTGACAGATCCATATCTGTGTGCGGGGATGAAGGGGGAGGGCGGAAATCAACGTACTACAGCAAATGGTCTTTCTTGTACTGCATAGCCTGCCATCTATCCTGCATTGGGCTATCAGGTAGGACTGTGCAAGGACACGCTTGGTGCCACCTCTATACCTATATCCCTCTACCAGGTAGGACTGCCTGCACAGAAGTTTTCTCAGCACTGAGCAGTTATACCACCTCTCTGAAATGGTGTCCCCTTTATTAAAGGAGTCTTTCTGGTCACCTTATAGGCCATGATGGCCTTGCTGAAGGGATGAGTCACATTATAAACGTACTCCCTCTAGTACTAATGTTTAGCACATACCCAGCTCATAAATGGGATTTTATGACTCCAAGAAATGAGCACAATAGGCTTTCATTGGCTCCTCATGACTGTGCCCACGAATCAAGGCTAATCAAAGCCTCGTGATGGCACATTACTAACACTAGAAGATCAAGTCCAACTCCTCATTATGGTACACAAGGTCCTCCATAGTCTGGCCTGCCTCTACCATCTCCTCTCCTATCACAACCACCACCACCTTTCTCCAACACTTGGTGCCAGTCATGGAAGCAGTGCAGACTCTGAATCACAAAAGGGAGATAACTGCTTTATACCTCCACACTTACGCATGAGCTGTTTTATACCTCCACACTTACGCATGAGCTGTATCGACTGCCTAGAATGTATTTCCATACCCCCTCCTCTGACCAACCACCTTTCCCCACCCTCCTGACGGTATTTGCCTGGCCAATTCCTCTGATTTCCCACCACTGGTTCCAAGTTTCCCCTTCTCTTCTGGAAGCCTTCACGTATCCCCAGGAAGAATGGATAACTGCCCCTCATACACACTACTCAGAGTGTACTTCGTGTGCTGTCAATCAAGTTACATGCCTTGAAGTCATCTTACTTTCCACCCAGTGAGCTCCAAGAAGACAGGGAAGAAGTCTGACTCAGATTTGCATTCCCAGTACTCAACCAGTGCAGGCACAAATCAAATAGTCAGAATGGAGGGAGGATCAGTACTGCTCAGCAACCCAAGGCTCAGCTATCTCTTCCCATGCAGGGGCTGCAAGGGCCCAAGCAGTCAGGTCCTGGTTGACTCCCTCACCACCAGCCCTGGAGAAGACACTGAGTGGGCTGGCAGCGCAGGGAGCATGCCCAGAGGCAAGGACACACTGCCCCAAGGAACAATGCTACGAGTGGGCTGTGCCAGGCCGAGACGAGTGAGGGGCAGTTGTTCCACCAGCACTTCCACCAACTGAAGGCAGGGAATTTTCTAATCATAAACGCTTGCCTTTTATCTCACTTTATATAGCCTTGCCTCCTACATTCAGCAGTAAATTGCTGCTTTATCACAAAAATAATTTAATCCAGCAGAACATGGACATAAAATAATAGCACCAAACTAAAAAAAATTCCTTACCTATCCTAACGTCAACCAATCAACAACTTCTCTATCCTACCCCTGTAACTGGAATACTCCATAGTAATGACTCTGCTTGCTTTTACTTTATACATCATATGATAAGGTTGGTTATCTTGTTTTCAAGCTCCCTACAGATTAAAAGCAGCACATTTGAGAAAAGAGTTTCATAACGAAGAAGACAAAAAAGCTATTTCAAAAACCAGGCCCAGGAACCCCAAAGTCCAGCAATCTGGAGCATTTGGCCCTGTGTGTCTGGATGCTCAGTACATTCAACCGAAAAGAGCACAGTTCAGGTTCTTAAAGGCAAAATTTGTCAGCTTTTTAGGAATGCTGCCTATAAAATTATACATTTCTTAATATTCTGCCATAGACAAAGTATAATTATATTTTAAATGAATAATAGCAACTCCACTTACAGAAATCTACCCCCAAAATGTAAGTGTGCAAGATGAACACACCAATATGCTCAGTGTAGCACTGTTCACAATAGTGGAAAACTGAAAACTAAATACCTATTAAAACGGTAATGAGAAAGAGAGTATGACCTATACTTAAAATGGAACACAGTTCAGCCATTTTAAAAGATCACATTCATTAACATGGAAAGATACCACAACAAAGTATTAAGTAAAAAAATAATGGTTGGTAAATAGCACGTGTGATGTAACTTCACTCACATTACACAAGGGTGCACATGTGCGTATGCTTGCATATATGCACGTGGGTATACATGCATGCCAATTACCAAACTGTTGACAGTGACCATTCCTGTATTATCAAACTGTTAATTGTGATTCTTGCTCCTTCACAATTTTCTATATTGTCTGAATTCTCTACAGAAACACAGATCTTGTACATAATGAGAAAAAATTATTTTTGAAAAGTATACTCCAGCATGTGCACATACATCTCAAATACTGCTTTACAGGATTAAAGAAAAGGGAGGGAAAGGCAAGTAGGTGCATGTATGTAGCTAGCCTGGATGCAATCACCATGCTTTCCATCTATCTCCTACAACAGAGAAATCAGCAAATAGCTATAGACTCATCACTACAAATTCATCAGTACCACTTACTAGAAAACACAATTTTGAAAGCTAGAATACTTATATACAAGGATACCTTACATATAGCTCCAGTCACCCTATCAATTTCAAATAGTTTCTTAGTTCTATCTGGAAGAAGAACTTCAACAAATTTTCAATGTTAAAACACAGTGGCAGGGCTTCCCTGGTGGAGCAGTGGTTGAGAGTCCACCTGCCGATGCAGGGGACACAGGTTCGTGCCCCGGTCCGGGATGATCCCACATGCCGCGGAGCAGCTGGGCCCGTGAGCCATGGCCGCTGAGCCTGCACGTCCGGAGCCTGTGCTCCGCAACGGGAGAGGCCACAACAGTGAGAGGCCCACGTACTGCAAAAAAAAAAAGAAAAAAAAGAAAAAAAAAAACCCCACAGTGGCATAAATCAACTACACATCAATAAAAAAATTAAAGTTAAAAAATAAGCATAAACACTAGCATGTCAACCACGGAGGGGAATAACAATACTGAAGAAAAATATATGCAAAATAGAGGTGGCCCTAGAAAAGCCTACTGGATGTCAAAAGAAGCCAAGAAATTTTGAAAACACAATTTCTGAGATTGCCCCAACTGACAATGCTCATTCACAAAAGTTTTATCATGTGTGGGCTCTCCAAAGCACGAGGCAAAGATAAAGGGAGGAAAAGAAACACAGGGCATAAGAATTTACACTTTCACTCAAAAAAATTTTTGAAAAACACGAAAGATATTACTTTGTCATAAGCTCAGTTTTAATAAGGATGGAAGAATAAAGTATCTGAAAATATCTGAGCTACAAAAATTGTGGTTTGGGCACAATGTTAGTCACATTATTTCTGAATTCTAATAATCTTCCTCCTTATAAAAGGTTTGTAAGGATAAAGAAGTGTTTGTTAATTATAATAACCTTCTTAGTCAAAATAAATAGCCCTAGAAGAAAAAAAAACTTTAAAAAATAAATATGGTAAAGAATTCTGAACTGTCATACTCTCTTCATTACAGCAGACAAGCTGCACTGGAATTCTTTGGGGAAGGCAGGACATACTATACTTAGGCAGGTTGGAAGGCAGGCTGGCCAACAGAGTTAAGGAAAGGAGATAGGAAATAAAGATGAGGAAGAAAGGGAGCTCTGTAGCAAAAGATGGAAGAAAAAAAGAAAGAAAAATTCAGTTCTGCCTCATGCTGCAGATGCCCTCAGGAAATGTCATTAATGGCACATTTCATTATAGAAATTCCCCAGATTGGCCAAACACTTGCTCTTTTGGTTTCCAGATCAAAACCTACATGCACCTTTTGCACATCAAGGCTAATGCATATATGGCATGTGGCTAAGAAATTATTCTCAGCCCAGCATGTCTGCATCAAGATACATCTGTGACTCCCTATAACCTGTAATGACAACATTGACAAGCTGCACAGAAGACCAACACAGTCACAGAGCAGACTGACACAGAATGGATTTAAATGCCAAAACTGTATTCTGAGACTCTTCAACTGGGTTTTCTTTCCTCCACAAGATGGTTTCCAAATACATTTAGTCTTTGAATCACTGCAGAATTTTTCATTTCCCTAACTTCTCCATCAAGTTGAAGAGCTGTTAAAGTTCTAAGAAAAGCACACTTCCACTTCAGTGGATAAGTGTGGTACCACGACAAATCTCAGGTGAGGAGGGCCTTCCTCAAGGGAGGAGCCCAACTAGATGGGAGGAGCTCTCCAGAACAGGAACCAGAGAGAAAGCCTCAAGGGTGGGAGAACAGACTGAAGTTTCACTGACAGATGGTGACTTTCATGCCTTTTGTCTCTTCTCTCATTTCTCCTCCCCAGGAGTTTGGGGACAAGTATCCCAGTATGCCAAGATGCATTTACAGATATTCAAGTGACAAAGAATAAACACTGATCTAGAATGATTCAAAAAATAAAGGCAGTCTTTTTGCTGACTACAGAACCAAACTCAGAATTTCCCAATTTCAATTCCAATTATTCCCACTTCTGTGTAAAACAGTATTGGTTTCCATTTTAAGGTTTCCTAGCAGCAAAATACCCAAAGTCACAATTCCAACACAAGAAAACTTAAAGCCTCTCAGTCACTACACAGCAAAGTGGTGGAGGGCATAAATTTTTTAAGCCACTATGTGGGCTCAAATTCCAACTCTTTCATTTACCAGGTGTGTGACAGTGGGCAAGTTACCTAATGTCTGTACCTCAGTTTCCTTATGTGTCTCTTAATTTAAATAAATTAATATATGTAAAGCTCTTACAGTATGAAGCACTTCCTGTAATAATAATGA